GTTATGATACACACATGCAAACACATACAGACCTGGAGCCTGGTTTTGCAGACCCAACAGATCAAATATCGCTTTCAAAGAACAGGAAAATAAAGAATGCTCACCAACTCCTTTATGGTGCTTATTTAACCTTGGTTCTAAATGCAGACTAAACCAAGAAAGAGAATAAATCAGTCTTATTTTTTTAAAGCATAAAATACTTGAATAAAATATTACAGAAATTAAATCTATCAATATGTCAAATAAATGATATATTGAATCCATGTTTATATAGGTTCACATCAGAAAAGCCACTTCATGTTTAACAAAATAAAAAGGAAAGAAAGAAACATCTCAAAGGTAGAAGAATGGAGCTTTTTTATTATTCAAAAAGGATTCATGAGTTCAAAGGACTCATAGCAAGTAAACATAAAGATGAACTACCTTAAGTGCCTGAATCTACTGAAAACTTAGAAAAATTGCCTGGAAGGGAAATATTGAGGTGTTTTCCATAGAGACAGGAATGTGATAAGAATCACCATAGTGAATGTTTCTGTGCTACATTGCCCCAGAAGCTCCAGTCTGGGTGGGGAGAGGAAGGGAAAGAGAAAAGAAAAATGATATAGAAATTGGTGAGGCAGAAGCCAAGCATGAATTGTTTCCTGATAATATTCTTCTTACTTGGAAACCCAGAGCAACTCTTCAAATAAATTAGACAACAATATAATGTATACACCTGTGTGATTACAACATAAAATTGTAATTTATAGAAACAGTTGGATCACAATATAAATTTCTTTATTTCCTTACTCAATAAGAAACCAAATGGAGCTGAAAAATCAATGATTGAAAAACTGCTCACATGCACATAGCTATTGTCAGATCAAAACAAAACATCTTAACTTCAAATTAATTCTTGTAAACTAATACCCAATGTTTTTCAGGAAAATTGTTGACCAGATCGATGAATGTTTAGGAAAATGGAAAGGTGTTTTGTTTTGTGTTGCTGGGGGGCTCCTCTCCAGGCTCCACCAAGCCCCGCAGTCCCACAATCCACGTTTTGTTTTTGTTTGTTTTTTAATTTTAAAGACCCTAGATCATAAAAACAAAAAAACTGATAAATTAGACTCCATAAAACATGTTACATGTTACTAGAAAGTCCTAACATTTTACTATAAGCTGTGATAATATCCACAAATGAAGCCAAAGGCATTTCTCTCCATGAACAAAGCACATCTGTGTATTTGAAACTCCACCTGACAAACTTTCCAATAGAAGTATCAATAAAGAAGCAGAAAGTAGACACAAGAAAGTAGACATGGGAAGTGGAGAGCCTGTGTAAGAAAACAGCCCCAGGAAGCATGTGGATAGAATCTAGCCTCCCACCGCACGATAACAGCTGTGGTATGATAGATCGCAACCATTGACCAGAAAACAACAGCCAAGCAAAGCCATGTGTGTTCTTCAGGCAGGCCCCTTTCCACACTGCTGTTAGGAACTGGCGCGGCAGAACTAGCCTCCCATCCAGATTTCTGTAGCATAATTTAATAGTATCAATTGCTTGGCCAGCAATTCTATAGCGAGGTCTATCCTCCAGTATAACATAATTACACACAGAGAGACTCACACACACACACAAATGTTCCTCATCAAGATATAGTTCTGGTCTGACAAGCTCACTATAACTTGAAAATACCGGAAGCCAAAAGTGCATATATCACACAAATAGGCAAATTATGCAGATGGTCATTTTTCAAACATGAAAATTAAACCACAAAATACAATATCCAAAAATAAAACCAGACTGAGGAGAAGGCTCAGAGAGTCAAGTATTTACCATGAAAGCATGAGGTCTTGAGTTCAGATCCTCAACACTCACACAAAATCCAGGCCTGCACGTTGGCACACATCTATAACCACAGCCCTTTGGGGCAGGGAGCTGAGACAAGTGGATCCGGAGGCTGGTAGGCCAACAGTTGAGCCAAAATGGTGAGCTCTAGGTTCCGTGAGAAACTCTGTCTCAAAATGTAAGATGAAGAACAACAGGTGTCGATCTCTGGCCTCTACACACACACACACACACACACACACACACACACACACACACACACATTGACAACACAGAACTGACAGCTACCCTCATGAACATGGTATTCAACCAGGAGCCAAGACTCTGTGTGACTGTCCAGCAATGGGAGATAATCCTGTATCTTTCAACACTAGCCCATGAAACAAGCAAGAGCGAACATGAAAGGATGGCTCCTGACCAACACATGCTGATTTCACATCATTGTTAAGCTGAAAACCCCTAAATCAAAGCATTATATATAAATCGGGATCCAGCTCCATGTGTGCAAAGTTGCCCATAACTTTATTTCAACTCTAGAAATGAGGAATAGGCAAGAAATAGGATATGGCTAAATAACCATTGATGGTTATTTCAGATTTGTATATACGTGAGGACACTTCCCCCAAGAGTTTTATTCGAGGAGGACCACAAGTTCAAGGTCAACTTTGACTACACAGCTTAAATTGAGTTTCATGTGGAGCTGCTGCTCAAAGAGACAAGTGGAGTATGATGCCAACCAGCTCTATGACCTGCCTCCCAATTCCTGACTGCCCAAGTCCACTTGTCCACCATGACCATAACAACTCTTGTTAAGAAAAACATTTCCCTGGGGCTGGCTTACAGTTCAGAGGTTAGTCCAAAAACCTTATCCCTAGGAATCCCTAAAGACAGCATGGGAAACCTTGGGTGGGGAGTGCTCCGTAGTGTTAAAAGACTATTGAATATATACTTTGAAAACTTCGTAAACATGAATAAAAGACTCGTGGAACCTGTGGTGGTTTAAATGAAAATGGTCCCCATAGGCTCATAGGGAGTGGCACTATTAGGAGGTGTGGCCTTGTTGGAGGAAGTGTGTCACTAGGGGCAGGCTTTGAGGTTTCAGATGCTTAAGCCAGTTCCTGCTGCCTGCCCATCTGGATGTAGAAGTCTCAGCTCCTCTCCAGCACCATGTCTGCCTGCACGCCACCATGCTTTCCACCATGACAATAATGGACTAAACCTCTGAACTGTAAGCCAGCCCCAATTAAATGTTTTCTTTTATAAGAGTTGCCATGGCCATGGTGTCTCTTCACAGAAATAAAAGCCCCAACTAAGACAGAACCACATGAAAGTTAATGTACAGACCGATATGATCTCAATTAGATAGATAAATGTATATGAATATCCAGTGATTGGTTGGCTCTTTGTTATGTCTGTACTTTTCAAAATTCTTTTAGTAAGGCTAAGTGTTCCTTCAATAATTAGGGAGAAGTAGAAAATCATTAACACACATGAATACATTTCACTCAAATCCTTTAATTATGTGCATCTATAGGGGAAGGTCTTGGAATTTTAAGAAAACCTTTTATTAGAAACAGCTAAGGAGCTCTCCAACAATCTACCTCTGGGACATTTATCTTCAGTGTTATTCAGAGCACATATGAAATCAATTACAGCCCCCAACTGGCTTAGGGAGCCTCTGTGTGCCTGCGGCCATCTCCACAGCAAATTGCCTCAGCCGTGGTCAAAATCAAAATTTCTCAGTTGCCTTGGTTGACCTAGAAATGTTTTATGTAATTTGCTATTATCTGGAAGGAAAACAGTTGTTAGAAAATAAATCTCCTTTTTAAATTTTTAAGTGTTGCCAAGAAATATCCTTCATCATTTAGACATGCCAGAAAAAAATCCAGTAAATAAATGGAATCTTCAAAATGAATTCTAAACATCACTGTTCATTAATCTCCAGACACCCAACATGGAGAAGAAGAAAACAGTGCTTTAAAGAGTTAATGAATAATGGAATTTGATAATTTAAAAAAAAGAATAAATAAGTGAATGGATAATGACAATGTTATAATCATTTTTAAGATGGGTAGAAAAATAAGAGGCATTTTCCACAATAAAAGCAAAACCCAAAAAATTAGCTTCTAGTTATGATCACTCTTCTCTTTATATTTTATTAATTTACTTACTTATTTTTGAGACGGGCTGGCCTTGAACTCCTGAACCTCCTGCATCCTCCTGCCAAGTGAGTGGTAGGCTTGCAGGCGTAAGAGCATGGCACATCCTGGACTTGGCACATGCTGAGCCAGCACTGACCAACTGAGCTCTGCCTGCAGGCAGGCCATGGTCACTAGACTCAAAAGGGCCCGTTGGCCTTAGGCAATTTGCCCGTCTGTCCATCTGTAGCTTCTTCACCCCCCATCTCTCTAAAATGACTGGCTTGAACCTTTTCTCTTTCTTCCTTCAAACATCCATCATCCTTAAGCCTCAGGAGACGATCTTCCTTCCTTTTTCACTGAGAAAGCAGAATCAACCAAAAGATGCCTGCTTGTACTTCACCCATCAACTCCACCGACTTCCTGGTACGTGTGCTCCTCCTGCTCCTCTTCATCCCTCCTCTGTCTGAGCCATCCAACTTAGCAGTGGATGGCATCCTTCTTGCCCTCCCAGGGAATAGCACTGCTCCAATTCTTCCCTCTTTCTCCTGCACCCTCACTTTCTGTATAAACAGCACCAGAGGCTCTTTAAAAACAACCCTCACTCAACCTCCTCATTCCCCATTCGCCCTGAGCAGCCACAGTACATTCCTGCCTTCCTTCAGTGCAAAACCTGAGAAGGTTGCCTGTTTGGGCATCTCAAGTTCCACTCTCCCATATTGTTTGCACACAGTCCTTGCAGCCTTTCCTCCCAATCACACCAATGACAGTATTCATAACACCCCTGTCTACCTCCATCACTCACACTGCATCCAGCACACTGCTTGCACTACCACCATTTAGCACACCATGACTTTACTCACTCTTTTATCCATCTGTCCACCCCTACTAGGTTGTACACTCCAAGCACTGGATCACAAGGGCCCAGAAAATGGTCTGGCAAATAACAGGTACCTAGTAAATGTTTGTTTAATGGATGGTTGGGGAAAAATAAACCACTATCCCTATGACTGAGTAATTGTTAAATTGGACAGCAGAGCTTCAAACCCAGATGTATTTTATTTTTTAAATCGTGGCCCCATCAGTTAGTACTACAGCCTGGATCTCCGATAATGGTGACTGAAATAGATGGCAGTCTCGTGAGTTCAACAGGGTCTACAACAAAAATAAATTGGGAGATGTAAAGCTGTGAATTCATTTAGCATTTTTCAAAATAAGCAGTACATTATGGGAATTGCTTCAGCTTACTCGAGTGAGTAATGAGGCAGTCTTGGGCATCTATTCCACAATCCAGAACAGCAAATGGAACAGCCACACCCTAGAGATGGCCAGTACAGATCTGGGAGCTCCAACTTCCATGGAAGGAGTTTAGCAGATTCTCTCAGAGCTACAGATGAGGGCTACAGCAACGTAAAAGCAGTCAGTCCCTGAGGCTGGTACCAGAAGGGGCCCCCACCACACGCATGCAGTTTCAGCTCAAATGGCCTGATCAGCATCATTCGTCTTTATGAAGCACAGCCCTTCACATCTCCACAGCGTCCGGATCTCGGCAGCAATTCTACAACACCGCAGAAGGCACAGAGCCCAGGACAGTTATCTGGAGCGACAATTGATGTCATGAGCCACAAGACTAAGTTCCATTCAGCCTCTCTTTTGTGAGAAGACAGATCATCAGTCACATGTTTGGGGAAGGTTACCCTGTCTCTCCAGTTGCAAATGTTAAAAACTGTCATCTGAAGAGGTAAAACTTCAGGGGCGATCTATTTGATGGAAAAGTTCAATCATGTCAGATAAATGGGATGCTCGTGTACTTCTCCAGAGGATTAAAAAAAAAAGAGAGAGAGGGCCACGATAAATGGTCTTGATGTTTATTTATGTATTCAACTCATGTGGAAGGTATTTGAGAGTCAATAAGTATCTCATCCCTGTTACCTTGGAAACTATCTGATGTCAGTACAATTCACTGGTCCAAAGAATGAAAGGTGGCTTAATTTATTAGTTCTGTGATCTTCTAAAGAAATAAATAGGGGGCCGTGGAGACACCCACGCATGAGAAAATGAATTCAGGTCCCCAGCACCCACATCAAAAGCTGGGAACCGTGGCAGGTACTACCCTGTATTCTCGGACATGGGAAACCAAGATAGGAGGATCCTTGAGGCTCACTGACCGCTAGTGTAGTTAAATTGATGAACTTTGTCAGTGAGAGGCCCTCTCTCTAAAAGAAAGAAAGAGAAAGAGGGAGAGGGAGGGGGAGAGAGGGAGACAGAGAGGGAGGGGGAAAGGAAAGGATAGGTTCTCTCTCTCTCTCTCTCTCTCTCTCTCTCTCTCTCTC